TGGGAGAGACAAGACTTTACATAGACAGTCAGACAGTGATTATAAACATTTTCTCTCCTCAAACCCAAGGTGCCTACAAAGAAGCATTTTAATCAATAGGCAGCAGTGTTGCTCCCTCCCATGGCCAGAAATGCAGTATCTGTCTTGGCCCTGAAAAACTGAAATGCTCAGTGTGTCTGCAGGTTAGAATAGAAGGAGCTGAGTAGACTCCAGTACTTAAGTAGTGACAAGTAAAGAATTTTCTGGGATGTATTCATTCTCATGAAAGAAAAAAAAAAATATATTCATTTCAGTCATTTGGAAGCAGTTTGCAAACTCAGACTGAATGTTGTTCAAAGTTTAAGTTACAAAACTGACACAGTTAGCGCTGATGGTTCTACTGTCCCTCAGTTTTCCAACAGCCCTGTGGCCTGCAGCTCAAATACTCCTCTTGTGCTTTCAGTTTCTCCTCTTCATGTTGTTCTGTTTAGAAAAATTATTCAGAATCTGTGGGGGAGGAAATAGATTCAGCATTTTTCACTGCCTGTATTATTACCACGCTATAAAGCAATTATACTTTTTTGTTGTTGTTCAATAAATATTTAATTTTTTCTCTTCAAGAGGGAAGGCAATGTGATGACAGCTCCCTGGTAGCTGTATGTTTTTGAAAAGGTGACACAGTAGGTGTGGCTGCTCCCTGATGGTAGATCTGAAAACTGCTGCAGTCATCAACCATCGTCACCTAGGAACACGAGGCACAGCTGCACACTGCTGTGGCTAAACTCTCTGTGACAGCAGCAACATAGCTGTCTTTTCCTAGGTCTTTTTCAGTGATTTAGGTGACATTCAACAAAGTAAAAATAAATGAGCAATTGGATTTGAAGTAAAAATTACTGCTAATACATTTTAGTTAGGAATTCCTTTTATGCAAAGTGTGCATTTCCCTCTGGCTGCTTGTTGCTATCTAGATGCCAATCTATAGCATCAGAGGTTTATTTTTCTTTATTTTATTCCTTGCTTTTTTTCTGCAATGGATATTACATGTGCTGACATCCCTTTGAAAGTAATCAGATAATATTCCTCACCAAGTTTATATTGTCCAGGTTAATGGCCTACAGAAAGCATTGTGGAATTTCCATATATCTTCTTTGACATATTTTGTTGAACATAGGGTCAAGGTAGGATAATGTGACTGTGTGTTCCCTAAGGTGATCAGTCTGATAGAATATTTAAAGTGAAAAGACAGACAAAAATCAGTGGGAAATGAAAGAATGAAAACAGTGCTAAATCCTGCAAAAATGTCCAGAATGTTTTTGATACCTCTACCTACGAAAAGGAGTGAAGGACCATTCAAATCTTTTTTATGCCAGTGACATCCCTTTCGTTAATCACACTACCATTAAATAATATGATAATCAGTCCAGTAGCAGTTGCCATCTGCCATCACAGATCATGATTACAGTTATGAATTAAGCAGAGCGAGGCAGCATCGCACTGACATCCTGCAGCACGAAAGGAACCTGACTTGCTTCTCATGAGCTGTGCTGCTTGTCCAGCACAACCCGAACACCAAGTAACCCAGACTACCTGCTATGAGAAAAAACACACCAATCCAAACTGCATTATACAGTTACTGCCTTCATTCTTTGATTCGTTTTCCCAGCACTTAGAATATATTGTGAGGACCTTCTTCTCTGCCTCTTTATAGTAAAAAGTTTGTAGCAGGAGCTGCCTTGCTTTGGCATTCTGCATTTTTTTTCAAAGTAAACATTTACAAAATACTGTGAAATGACGAAAGTTAGTGACATTCTAAAGAGCCTTTCAAGCCCACCTGTCATTTTATGGGGAAGTATTGCACAAGTGAGGAAAAATGATGTTAATGTAGTTTGCTGTAAAGCTTTTAAAGCTGTCCAAAAAAACTCCCCTAGACACGAGAACTCCTGCAGAATGTCTCCTGCCCCACCAGCTTCCCTTGGGCTTGTAGAAAAGGACAAAGCCTTTCAGACAGAATCTTTCCTCTAGTGATAGGCGAGTCAATCCGATAACGACAAGATTTTGGAAGCCATCTGTTCTGGGAAAAAAGCACTCTAAACCAGCTCTCAGCATGCAGCAAAGTCCTTACAGCTGAGGAGCAGTGATAGGATTTAGTACAGTGATCCAAACGGGAGCTACTTTGATCATCTATATACTCTTTCAAGCCCTAAATGTTTAAAATATCAGAAAGAAACAGCAGGAAAACAGCATAGTCCATCTTGTCTTCTGCACAAAAGTTACCTTTGAGTTTGTACTCCTGAGATACTCAATTTCAGTTAGGTTTGAGCGAAAGCTTACTATTCAGAATAACTCTTGGCTTTTGGTGGATTTGTGTCCCAGAAAACATCAGAGACCCCTGCAGGCAAACCTGGGAGGCTGTGCCATGTGCCCAGCTGCCTTGGCAGCGCAGCAGGCAGCTGAATCACTCTGCCAGAAGCACAACTGGATTTAAGGTCTGCTGTTCCCTTCAGCTGCACTGGTTTAACTGCTCAGTGATTGCTCTCCAACATGGCTCTGTGATGTGTGCTGGTTGATAGTAGAGCTCCTTTCTGTTATTCCAAAAATAGTTCATCTGACTACGCTGTAGACTCAGGGCTTCAAAATAAATCCCCATGGCATATCATTAGCTTAAGCATCAGCAGCTCTCCAGCTTTAGTACAGTCTTTTCTAGCTACTCAAAAGGGAATTTTTAAAACATCACTTATCTAAGGCTAAAGCCATTCATGTGTGGAAAGAGATCACACTGGGAGTAAAATGTGAGTTTAACTCACGATTTAACAATGCAGAAATACATGCCATTTAGCTAATCGTCCTGAAACAAATTTCCCACAGCATAATGGATTCTGAATTGCTCTGCACCTTTACGTAGCCAGTTAGACCTGTGCAGGGCAACAAACCTCCTGTGTCCTGCAGTGAAGGCACACAGCTGCAGTGCCATCAGTGGAGCTCAGGTGTAACAGATGGGACATCGTACCAGAGGAATGGGCATATTTGTCTGGGACAGCACACAGAGCCTTGAGAAAATGCCACTGAACTTTAAATAAGTTAGCATTAGTGGTGGTAACAGAAGAGGGGCAGTCTGACAGAATGGTGTCTGACATGGAAGTGCAGATGAAGCAAAGGGGTGGAATTGAATTTCTCTACGTGAAAAAAATGGCACCCGCTGAAATTCATTGACATCTGCTGAATGTTTACGGAGCCCAAGCAGTGGCTGGAGCACAGTGAGGCAGTGGGCAGTGTGTTTCTGCAGCGATGGCAGTGACAAAGGGGCACTTTCACCAGTACAGATTCTTATGAGCACAGCATGCAGGCTCTTGTTCAAGTCTGGTGAAAATGCATTGCTAATGGTGGTTGCTATGTTGAAAAAGGAGGTTTGGAACTGATAATATGCTTTATGAAATAGTGCTATTGTGTTCTTTTTATCTGTTATAGTTTCCATGGGAACAAGTAGGAGGCATTACATTCAGAGCAACAGACCTAAACTAGCTTTGTTGTGGTTACAACACATGCAAGTTACTGAGAGAGGCATCAAATTAATGTTTGTATGGCTAACAAATAACAGACACTATTACAAATTAGTTATTACTTTGCCTGGCTGACATCTCATCTTCAGCAATGCCTTCAGTATGCTATTTCATGCATCATAATATATTTCTCGTACTAAAGGGTTAAAGAGCCCTGTTTCCCCAGGATGCCATTTAAATGGCACTTGAGATAATATTCAGCACTATTCCAAACTCTACCTAAATATTTGTTATTTGTCTGCATGTTGTACATTTAGTTCTGATCACACACGACCTGCTAACACTGATGTGCACTTAATGATGCTGCTTTTCAAAAGGCTCCACTTGTCTGAAACTGTCCCTTGCACTGTTTAATTTTACTATTGTGTTAATCTAATACCACTTCAATTAAATGTCTTTCAGAACTTTTATTGGATTTGTTCACTAAACAAGAGGAAGAGCATTTGGTTATCTTTAGAGTATTAAGAAAAAGAGCTATTTGGTATGAAATGTGATTAAATCCTTTTTAGCCATATAGGGTCATTTAGGAACAATATTTAAGTTCAGAGGGGTAGCTGTGAATTCAGAGGTCTAGATGCACAAGCAACTCTGACAGCTCCTGCTGTACAGGTGACCAACACTTGGCTGCCACCCTTCCTTTGCCTGCACATGAAGCTCTGGCTGTTCCTGGGACAGGGACTGTGCATTCAGCTCAGAGTGCCCAATACTGACAGTACTTGGTTCATAAAACCCAGGTGGATACTGATGATGAGAGGATGACTGAGGGATGAGTAATTGCTGGTACCTCCAGAGAAATGAGGTCATCAACATTTTCCTGTGTTTGAGAAACGAAGAATTAATCTTCTTAATTAACTGCAGCATTTAAAATGCCCGTTCTGTCCCTTGAGCTTGCATCAGGTAGTTATAAGAAGCAAGGGGGAAGGCCATGTGAACACAGTAACTTTCAGGCACAATAATAACATTCTGCCCTGCAAATCCTTCCCTGTAAAGCTGTGACACAGCATTTCCTTGTATCATTCCACTAAATTCAGTCGTCTACAGCTGCCTGTTAAGAAGCCACTGGATGTGCCCTCAACACACATCACTGAGCTTAGTCACTGATTTCCAATGCATTTTCTATTATCTGTGTATGTTTGGTGTGTGAGGTTAATTAGGGAGAGGGCTGCTCCTCAGCAAAGGTGGACAACCTTTGCTATAATCTGTTTTGTCTTTTGAAATACATTATTAAAGAAGGAGCCCCAGGGAAGAAGCTGGCAGAAGGATACCCTCCGGTAACAACTTGACTGGCAGCAACAATACAAAGTACATTAAAAGTACCTGTGAAAACTTCCTGTGCAGTAGGAAGTAGAGGCAGTAATTCCCTTTGTTTTAAAAGGTACCTTAGCACAACTATTTCATAACAGTCATATATATCTACTAGCGTTATCCATATGATACTAAGCTGCTTTATTTTCTTCTCTCCAGGATGAAAAGAATCAAGTATTAACAACAAACATCTGGCTACAAATGGTGAGTTCTGAGGAAAAAAGCATGTTTATTCCTCCTTCGTTCTTTGCATTTAATCTGGTGCAGGTATAAATTTTAGGAAGCTTCCATGCTTCTGTTCTGTGTCTCACTACACAGTGCACAAAGCTAAGGTGAATGGCAGTCTGCAGAGCTGAGATTTAGGGCCTGATGCTGTTTCAGACATTTCTGAAAACTTTTTAAGAAATTGAGTCACCACAGCTGGGTGGGTTACAAACTCACCTTAGCCGATTTAAGCCATTCTAGATTAATCATCACAAGATACCCAGAGTTCCAGGAAGGTGCAAGTTCCTTATCACCCACTTCAACAAATCCATTACATTGTGGTAAATCATTTATTTGTGAAAAAGAACTATACATGTATGAAATGCATTTCATCTGTTGTGATCAGAACTCTGAAAATCACCAGGAAGTTCAGGAGGAAATTTATTCCAAAGAGATGGATTATTTCATGCTATCTGCTGCTGTTGTCCAAATGAATGCCTCTGCTGTCCCGTTTGCTTTGCTTTTAATCTGTCTCCATAAGAAACTGCATGAAGATTTTAATTAAAATGGACATGCTGTTCTCATGTTGCTCAAAATACTGTTTTTTAAATAAAAATTATCATCTTATTTTTACTGTGTAAATGAGAATTTTTAATGATATTGCTCCAAATTCCATCTCTCAGTTGTATGATAAATGTGTATTTGAACATATTTTCAGTTTCCCAACATTCAGCTGAGAGCACTTTTTCCTCATTTCCCTGTTTATTCTGCATGCATATGGTGTTTGTTTTTCAAGCAGTAGCTTTGTTTTACCTTTTGTTGCAGTGTTTACTTTCTACAGTTGTCAGAGGCTTTTCGGACTTAACATACCTCTATTACTGCCACAGACAGCACAGCAGAGAACTTTGCCCCCCATTAACTCAAGGCTGACATTACTGGGAAGGAATATTAATCACTTCTTAGTAAATTGAACAGTCAAGATCTCTGTAAAAGTATTTGAATTTCTTCTTTCTTTAAGATGAATTAGTGAGAGAGTAGCTCTTAAGCAAAGGAGCCTACGCAGATTTATTCTGATGGGAATCAGTTTGGGAACTGGTTTACCACTTAAGATTTAGAATTAAAAAGATGCCTCTTACCATACTGACTACTGGCCTCCTAACCATAATTTCTACTACAGATCTGTGTTTCACAAAGATGAAATACAGCATGGCAGTTTTTTCCATACTGCAGAGGCCAGGATGAGAACTGGCATTTCATTTCCATCTTACAGAAACTGCATGGGCTAAGTAAAGCTTTACAGAAGAGTTTCATTTTTTCAAGACAAGCATGCTGCTTCAGCAGAAACTTTATATCTTTCTGTTTCTTTAATCAGATCACTTAGTCTAAATATATCATTTTTCCTTTGACTGTAACACTTTTATGGAGGATCTCTCCCACTCAGTGGTAGGCCTCAGGAAAGAAATGAAAGACTATTTGGATGACCTAGAAAGAATAGTGTGGCTATTCCATTTGTTCACAAAGAAGAGTTGACTTGGAAGAAGCATTCAGCTTGTGCTATTTTAGAGACTTATTTAAGAGTAAGATTAAAACTGTCAAACATAATGTGTTTTTGGCTTTGAGTTGTAACAAAAACAGTTGCTGTAATTACTTACCAGGAAAAAAAGGTGACAATTCATACTCAAGAAGCTATCAATTATTTTCCCTCTCCTTGTCCTTTCTGAGACTTTGTTTTTTCCCCCTAAGGAAATTCTTTTTTAAAAAAAATGTGTGTTCACTGCATTTCTTTTGATTTATTCATCTTAGTATTTACTGTATGAGGAGCATGTTATGGTCACAATGAGCAGATCGTGTGATGTAGCCACTCATCATGGCCTATGTACACATTAAAAAAAACAGCAACAACAACAAAAAAAAAAACAACCAAGTGTTTCTGTCTTCACTGTATGCTACACAGATTCAAAGCATACTTAATGGCAAACATATAACATTTTATTGTGCTAAATGGTCTGCAATGAGAAGTTTTTTCCTGTATATGCATCTTCACTCCCTCTCTTGATATGCAATGCATATAGTCAGAGATGTATATTGAATATGTTTTGTCTAGTCATCACAGAAATACCAAAGTATGAAAAACTAACCTGGGAGAAGGGAGAAGAAATCTAGTTTATATACAGACTCTTCGATTGTTGGATTGTTGGCTCTATCTACATGGCAGTACTGGTTGGTATCAAAATCTTAAACATATCCAGGTTTCAGTAGGAGCCTTTCCTAGTCACACAGATTAATATTAAACCAAATACTCGTAGATGCTTGCTTTGCTAATCTCTATCAAACATGCTTTAGCTGCAGGGGAAACAGTAGCTCTGAAATTAAAACAAAATTGGACAGCTCACATCCAGCTTGATGAGAAACTGTAGAAGCTGGCAAAATGGAGCAGTCCCAATCTGTTTAGCATAATTTCTAATCCAGACTTCAGACATAAGTTTGCTGTCACCCTTTGGACTGTCTTTATAGCATTCAGTGGTGCGGTGTGCTCTACCACACTAGCTACAATAATTGCTAGAAGTTGTTATAATCAGAAATTACTGTATATATTGGCATTACTGTAACACAGTTCAGATGGCAATCAACCTGGGTGGGAAGCCAGTGAGCTGAGTAGCTCCTCCATGGCCCCACAGCCCCAGCCAAGGGCCTACTAGTCAGAAAGTGATTTGTTCTGACCGCTACTGAAAAAGAGTAACCCAAAGCCAACAAGAGCCCACAGATTTAAACAGGACAGCTCAAAACACACTTCAAATGGTTTACGTTACTGGTAAAATAAATAAATGAAAATATCATGAAGATCTTGATATTTCTAAATTCTACACAAGATGAAGTGGTAAAAAGTTCAGTATAAAATAATATAAGGTAAAAGTGGAAGTAAAAATCCTGAAAAAAATAGATGAGAAGCCATTGATCAGTTCATAGGAGATGTGTATAGACGGGCATGAATAAGACTCATAGTTTGTAATTAGAAAAGAAAAAGCTAAGAGCAGAGATATTGAAGATCTCTGTAAAAACCACTATTTGGAGAGCAAAAGGAAGAAAAGCAATTCACAATGCTGGTCATTTGTCGAGGTGACAAGGAGCTAAAAACTGTTAGTAAAAAATGAGAAATACATGGAAGCACATGCCAAGAAACCCAGATCTAAACCCTGTTGGATTGACCACACCAGAATCTATGCCTATACTGAAGCCACACTGCCACCAGGGCAGTAGCCTGCAGTGCAGGAAGTGCCAGTGGGAAGGGAGCTTCTGCAGCAGCTGCTGGGCACTGCTTCAGAGGTTGGCTAACCTCAGGCTACAGGAGCTGCTAGTATTAACTGCTCAACCATTTCAATTGCTTTTCCCTATCAGCAGTCTGTTGGCTGCTCTACCACACATCTGTAATCAAGTTATTACAATGTAAGAATTCACAAACACAGAAAACAAAGTTGTCTCTGAAGAAAAAATGTAACTGAAGTTAAGTATGAATTATAAAACAAAACCTGTTGTGTCCCAACTTGCTACCTGAAACAGCACGAACAATAAAATAGAGGCATCTCGAATCTTCTTTTATAGGCTGTTACATATGCATTGTAGTGTGAATTATGCTTTTGAGTGAGCTCTTGGTGGCCTATTCACCCTTTCCAAGTTTTTCATTGTCTGAATCTAAATAATAACCTGAACACGAAAGCATGTATTGTTTCAGGCTATATTGTCTGGAGAGCTACAGTAAGGCAATGAATAAGCTAATCTAACTTACTTTCTGTCTGTATGTCTTAGTACTGGACAGATCATTACTTACAGTGGAATGTGTCTGAATACCCTGGAGTGAAGAACGTCCGCTTTCCTGATGGACTGATTTGGAAGCCAGATATTCTTCTCTATAACAGGTGGAAATACTTTTCTTTTCCTGTGGGGAAGGAGAGAAGATAAGACAAATGACATAGCCATCTAATCAAAATGGCTAGGTTCTGAGCATCTGGAATGCTAGAAAATAACCATTCTCTTGTTTATACAATGGGAGGTCATATTTGCAAGTACTCAGTAAATAACAACATCCTCCCTACCACCAATTCTCATTAGAATCTGTGTGATGATTAGAAAATCAGATTTTTCTGGCTATGTTTAGTAATACAGATAGTGATAATTTTCTCTTTAGGTTTTTTTTTTGGTCTAAATGTTTAACAATGACTTCAAATGTGACTTGTGACTGCTTGCCTAATTTCACTAGAAGCAGGATGGCTAAATGTCTGTAAGAAAGTTTGCATTTTTTGCACATATTTCAAGCATTAAAACAGTCTGCCCAGGGAGATGATGGAGTCACTGTCCAGGAGATGCTCATGAAAGGTGTAGTTGTGGCACTGAGGAATAAGGTTTAGTGGGTATGGTGGTGATGGGTTGGGCTTTATGATCTTAGAGGTCTTTTCCAACCTTAATGATTCGATGGTTCTATATCCACTTTTAGTGTCTTTCCATATTCCCACTACAAAAATAGCTAGACCTTAAGCTGCTCTTCTCTTCAAACTATCTGTTCTTCGTTGGGCTTACTTTAGGGGCAGATTACCTTCAATCTGCTAAGAAACATTGCATTTAGTGTTTCCTGTAAGTTGAAATAGTAATGAATCTGAATCAATTTTCCTTCACTGTTTCCTTTAAGATGAATCAGTAAGGAATCTGAATCAATTTTCCTTATGTTCCTCGCAATTAGACAAGGAATTGTTTGCTTGCACTGTAACTCTTCACACTTTGCTGCTACCGAGCAAGACCTGTGGATGTGCCTATACTTTTAGGGCAGTCTGAATTTTGAAGAGCAAATAGTCTTCTTGGTTTTAATTATTCTATACTAAGCAATTGCAAGAGGAAGCCCCAAGGAAAAGCACTAAGTTCTTTATCTCCAATAGGCCCAGATTAAACAAGACCTGCCTATGCATCATTATATTTCAAAAAATTCACTTGCTGACAGCCCAGTTTCCTGCTGTCTGTTGTCTCAAGATGAAAGACCATTTCTGCCTCTCTCAGAGGCTTTGGTCAGAGTACACTGTGCACATATAGCAGTGCAGTCTCCTGTCTGAATGCTCAAGCAACCCTTATAAGGTTCTTTCTTTGTGAGTAAAGGTGTTCTGCTGTCTCTGGCATAGATGTAACCACACAGATGAAATGCCAGTGCAAAGTCGGGGCAAGCAGCTCGCAGGTCAGTGAGTGAGCACTGATTTCTGGCGTCTCTCTTCAGAAGTTTATCTCCATGCAGGGACTGCTGGGGAGTCTCCTTTCCCATCAGAACTGTCCTGTTAAAGCACTGGAAGATGTCTGCTCTTTAACAAGTTGTCCTTTTCTGCTGTTGTGTTATGCCCTCTTGCAGTTCCTCAGGTACTGGAAAGACCATCTGCTTTGTACGTGCTGCACTGGTTCTTTTGTGGAAGACAGGGTACTTGGTTATGTATTTGCCTGTGCAGGTGACAGGAACCTTTTGTCTTCTTCCGCATCTCTGCCATATGCTCAGAAGACAGCCTTGTGCTGAGCATCACCCCAATTCCCCCTCTGCATGGCGGGAGCCACCTTTTGTTGCAGCAATACCCATATAGTAGCAGGACTCGGCCTGTCAGCTGCAGCTGTGCTGTCCCTCTGCCACTTACTGATCACCTTTGTGATTAATGTCACTGTCACAGCTGTTGTGAATTGCAATGCTGTGACAACAGCACACAATGACAGCGTTTGACAGCATTCTTCTCCCCAGGGCCTCCATGACTGCTTTGCTTACAGCATGCGTCTGTGCCTCTCCCAAAGGTACAATTACCACTAAGTGATTTGAGGGGAGCTCTACTCAAGTTCCCCATACTGTAAGCGCCTGTCAGAATCACTTCTTGTTTCTGGTTCAAGCACTGCAATTAGTGCTTCAGTTGTCCATACACTAGCTGAATAATGCTCTGTACATAAACAGTACACGTGCTGTGTATTCCTGAACAGATAGATCTGCAACACTGACCTTGCTTAAGGTATTTTTCACTGCAAATTTGTTATTTTGAGTATCTTTTCCTACCTAGCTTGATTTCATAAATGAGAGCATTCTTGGGAAAGTCCCACACATCAGTCCTTTTCTCAGAAATGCCCTGGGTAGCTGGTACTCTACAACAGCAGGCTAGAAGTTTCCAGAGGAAAGCATCACACATACCATCTATCTGAGAGGCTTTCTGTGCATCTGACTACTATGCATCAACGTTTAAGTATGCGTATCCAAAATTAAAGTGTGATTTTAGCAATTTTCAACTATATTTCATAATATTCATGCAACCATGCTAACTGTAGCTGAAGCACATTACACAATGAGAAGGACAACTTAACACCTGGAAAACCAGCAGCTATACTGCCTTTTATTATGTGCCTGTTGTAAAGAGACCGGGCCCAGTTCATCTGTGGGTTTTGTGAGGGAAGTGAATCTTGGGTTGTGTACAAATGATTGCAGGATTGCATTAGTGTCATGTCTGGCCCTCTTCCACTTTGCTAGTTTTACTACATTTATTAGTTCTTATTTCTGGTGGTATTATTTTTCAAGTGGCCACACAGTGCTCATGAGTTCATGGAATAATGAAAATTCTGGTAGCTGTGTCTCAATTTCATTTTTCCTCTTTTATAAACCTGAGATTCTCCAGATAAGTCCCAGTGGAATTGTATCTGGTAAGTGTAGCTGTGTCATCTCAATGTCTCGCAGTCTATAACTTTTTTCAAGTCGTTAGACTTGAAAAAGAGAAGTAGCAGAGATAATTTTCTTTCATTGTATTAAAGCACAAAATCTCATAAAGCAAAGGCTTTTCTTCTTAGCATAATCCCAACTGAAGCACTGCATTTCAGAAAACAATCAGAAGCTCAGTGTAGAAAACCATATGCTCCTTTTCCTGAAGAAAAAATATTTTCAGGATATTTAAATACTGCGTCTAAGTATCTTTTGATGTTCTTTTAAAAATATTTCTTATTAAAACCCAAACATATGGCAATGAAACCTAGGTTCCTTTTTCACTTCTGTGTTCATTTTTTAAATGTTACATTTACAAATAGCCAGGAACAACAAACTGTTCTGGGCTTCCAAGACCTCTGCTCGAGGGAAAAAGGCTCAAATCTAACCTAGGAAGCTAAGAATTTTATTTCTAGTTATTGCTTTCTACTTGTAAGCAATTTGTTCAGTATGGATATTTTCCCTAAAATTGAGTATGTGGCTTGATTTTCATAAGGTAGCCCTTATTAAATTCAAATTACTGCAAATACTTGTCTATATCCAACATAGAAACCTGTTGCAGAAGTCTGATTTCCTAAGGAAACAAGAATTACGCAATTAGAGTGTATGCATGCTTGCACACCTGTCTGTGTGTGATTCTTCTTCCTGCCTTTTCTTCCAACATCATTTGAAACCATTCCTGCAGCATTTGGCAGTGCAGCGAGGAGACATCGTAGCAGTACCAGCCAGTACCAGTTCCTTACAGACGTCAGGAAAATGGGCAACCAAGTTGAGGAGGGAGAACATTTAGTGCTCCAGCCAGAAGAGAAGCTGCAACATGAGCTTAGCCTGTTAAGCATCGGAGAATCCAGCCATGAGCTGTGAAGCTGAAGGAGAGCGGCCTGCATTCCTTCCATTGACAAGAACTGATTTACCTTTTTCCCTGGGATCCATTCACACTACATATTCAATATTTAAACTCTTCATCTCATCTTCAAATTAAGTTCAAATTAAACAGTTGCAAAGACACTAACAGATAACTTTCAATACTGCAAACTTTCTACTTGCCACTGGAAAAAGTGCAATTCCAGATAGGCAAGTAATTATTTGGATATAGCTTTTCTTGTCTGCGTATTTCACAGATCAGTCCAGATATCTAATAATTTGTTTGAAATATAGAAGGTGAAATGTAAAGTGACAAAGACTAAGATAATGACTAAGATGGGCTTTTAAGATACGCAATTTTGTATCAGAGTAGGTCATTCATTCATTCATTCATTCATTCATTCATTCATTCATTCATTCATTCATTTATTTATAGAATATTTCAATTGGGCCTGCTATGCTACTGGAAGAATATTCCCCTTACTATACTTACTTTTTTGCTAGAATTATGAACATTTCACTTTCTCCCCATTTCAGATTCTCTCCGCAGTTTTCTGACAATGCTTTACAAGGTGATTAGGCAGTGATAAGATAGCAGCCACTGCTGGGCAGGGACCTGATACCTGCCACTGTCACACACAGGCTCAGCATGTGCTCTGGCTGCAGCAGGCAGCCGGACCGGGATGTCCCTGTGTGCATTCATGTGTGTGGTGCTGTGGGCTCGGTGCTCTCCTGCTCCCACCATCCCTGCGAGGTAGATATCTCATCTTGCTCTCTCTCGCACAAATGAAAGCCCAAGAAGGAGCCGCTGTTAAATGTAGACTGCAAGAGAACAGATTTCCCTGTACAATTGCTTGAGAAGTTTTTTAAAAGTGCTTACTATCCAAATGGAAATCAATAGAGCCATGCACTGTAGCAAATCCCGCAGGGTAAATGAGCAGAGGGAATGAGGTGATTCACCTCCGCTTAAGCTGTTAATCAGGAACAAGTCCAATAGTATTAAGGCACTTACCCTGAGACCACAGAAAAATGGTGCCAGGAGTAGAGCTGACAAGCTTTATCTTGGGGAGAAAGAATCCTTTTATGAAAAAGAAATATCTTCTCAGATATTTTGAGCCAAAGACCATATAACCCACTTTGTTTCTTCCCTGTTCTAGTGCTGATGAAAGATTTGATGCTACATTTCACACTAATGTTTTAGTCAATTCTTCGGGACATTGCCAATATCTGCCACCAGGTAGGCTGTTTCCATATCATAAATTCTAATAACTCAGACTGCTTATATATGGTGTGCTTTCAAATTTGACAGAAATTCATCGGTATTTTACTTATCTAACCATCATCTGCTGGATTTAAAACTAGATGCATCCTGAATGTGGTTAATGCTTTTGTATGAAAACCACCATAGAAGATTTCTTATTGGCATCACTTAAATTATTCTGTCATAATAAGATATTACAGAAGCATGAAGTATAAGAAGATAAAAAATAAAAGCCCTTTATGTAACAAGTCATTGTTTATTGAATCAAAGGTAATCTCTCAATAAAAATGTATTTCATTAACATGGCTGTTTCTCCTATTAGCACGTTACTTTTATAATGAGATGCTTAGAAACATGGTATGGGACGTACCATCTATTTGAAATGACTCATTGAATTCTTCATCAAAATGGTTTTGAATCTGGAAGGAACACAGTCTGTGTCTGGTCCTTTGATATCTGAACTGTCTCTGGGTGTGTTTCAGTGGATTTCTGTTCCTGTTCCCCAACTCAATTACCACAATTCTCAGAATTACTTCTGCCTAGAATTAGAATTTTAGATATACAGCAATAGAGCCAAGTGCTTTCCAGGCAAATTAAATCTGAGATCTCCAGAAGACATCAGGGTTCACTTCTTATTTTATCCAGTAATAGAAATAAGAGAAGCACTGTGCATACTCTGCCGCATTTCTTTCTAACACACAATATCTAGAGAATGGAGCTCTTCTCTGAATCATTTCCTACTACGTGCCTAAGTGTAGTTCAAAAATAGTTTACAACATCAACACATTAATAGTGCAGTTCCTTCCCTTTTCTGTAACTGACTTTTGCTCTTCACATCTCAAGACACAGCTGAGATCAAGTATGCTTTACAAGTAAATGCCAAAAGATGCAATGTAGAACAAGATCAGGTTACAAAAGGGACATGAAATATCATGGAATGAGCATTTCAATTTAGTGTTCTTGTTTAAAATCCAATCTAGGCATATTTAAAAGCTCGTGCTACATAGATGTGCGTTGGTTTCCATTTGATGTTCAGAAGTGTAACCTGAAGTTTGGCTCTTGGACATACGGAGGCTGGTCCTTAGACTTACAAATGCAAGAAGCAGATATATCTGGCTATATTTCAAATGGAGAGTGGGATTTAGTAGGTAAGCTCTTCATTATTTGTATACACTCTGAACTTGCAGCCTTATCAGCACTTCACTGCTGAAATGGGTAGAATAACAATTGAGAAATGAAGACAGAAATTAAATTAATAAATGACCATGGTGGTGGTGTTTAAAGCTGTGGGAACAGACTTAAGATGAGAATCAACATTAAAAAGTGAGCTTGAATTCAGTATACATTTTTATCTATTTTTCCATTATTACCTGATAAAAATGACGTATTTTGGAATTAAATTTGAAGAAGCAGCTTTACCCATAGCAAGGCTAAAAAAGCTATGTTTATTTATTTCTAAAACAATCTCTCCGTAATCTGTTGACATTAATGTTGTGTGTCCTTCCTTTTCCCTTTTACACAGGAATTCCTGGGAAGAGAACTGAGAGCTTTTATGAGTGCTGTAAAGAACCATACCCAGATATAACATTCACAGTAACTATGAGACGCAGGACTCTCTACTATGGACTCAACCTTCTTATTCCCTGCGTACTGATATCAGCACTTGCCTTATTAGTCTTTCTGCTTCCAGCAGACTCAGGAGAAAAGATCTCACTAGGTAAATATTACCAAATGAAGAAAGTTGTCATTTTAAAATTTCTTTTTGAACAATCTTGGGGAACAAGGAGGCATAGTTTATGTGTCCTGTTCTGCCTCATCAACTGTTTTTACTGTGTGTGATCCTGAAGACCAGGTGTCACTGTTTAACCTTTGCTGCAAAAGCTTTAGGGGACGCCAGAGCTGTGAAAGGCAGAAATTCCCACCGCCCAACCAGAAGCATGATGATTCCTAACTATCATCCTTCAGAAGAAAGGATTCATTTTTTCATGTTTAATTGCTGAAGGAAAAACTCCACATTCACTGATTTAAACTTAAGCTTACAAATCTGCATTTCAGCGCCTCAACGTGGCATTCTTCTTAATGGTTCCTTTTAATAACGAGTCGTGTTAAGAGCCTAGGATTACTTTTTGGCTGCTCAGAAAGACTGATTCCATTTAACTGCTACATTCTATTTTTAATAGCAATTTAAAACTAAATTATTGGCTTGTGAAAGAAGTCTGATGAGTTTAGATACTCGATCCTTAAGATGGTGGTTAGATATGCAATGAAATATTTTGCCTCATTCAACACTGCAAATACACTGGCTTCTACTAAATGAATGCAGCTGCTAAATGCTAAACATTTCTCCAGAAAACAATTAAACTGAGTAGTGGCCTCCCTAGCCATGAACTCCCTCCACATTTTTAAGATGAATTCTTTGTTCCTAAATCCTTTTCCACCTGACAGTGGTTCCCTGTTGTTTCAGATGAGTCCTGAGAAAAGAACAGGGCCCTGTTCTGAGAGATGGGGTCTACTGACAAATCAGCTGTCACACCTTGCACACAGCCACATGCAGAACCCAGCCACCAGTACTGAAAAACGTCCAAGTCCATCCAATACAACAAAGCAAATGCTTTTTCAGGAATCTTATGTATTACACTACCTGTACAGTAGCTTCCACACCAATTAATCAAGTCTCATAAGCTCAAATACCACAAATCACATCATGTTTCTAAAGCAAATGAGGAACAAGAAGTACTTTGATTCACCTCAGCTAATTAGCAAATAGTGATAAAAGCTGAACAGTTATAAGGATCTAAAAATACACACAGCCATGCAAGTTCAGAAAACTGAGAGTACATCAAAACCTTCCTAGTCACAGTGGTGTCCTGGGCCAGCACTGACACCAGCCTTACTGCCCTGCTGCTGACCCTGTGGCTGCCAGGGCAGGGCAGGAGCACCAGAGCTGCTGGCCAGGGGCACGGTGGGAATACAGCTGTCTGGCAGAGCACACTGTCTCATGTTCACTTGCTGCCTTACAAGCTACTGACCTGCTTTCGTACTTCACATTTGTTTTTCAGGTATAACAGTTTTATTGTCTCTCACTGTCTTCATGTTACTTGTAGCTGAAATTATGCCAGCAACATCTGATTCCGTGCCCTTAATTGGTAAGCTAATTGCAGCTTTTATTCACTTTTATTTTATGTCAAATGAGAAGCAATGACTTTCATGAAAGCCAGCAGTAAAGCAAACTACATATAGAATGGCCTGCTGCAATTGAAATAGAAAACAGTGCTCAGGATTGACTGTGCGTGAGTGTGCAGCAGTGACTTCCTTAGGGACAGAAGGTGTCTGGCCCCTCAGTGTGAGGAGTGAGGCAGAGATGCACTGCAGGAAGGAACACCACCATCAGCAAAAGCAGCATAGCCAGAGCTTGCAAGGAGCCTCGAGACTGGGAGAGGGGATGGGACACTGAGAATGGCGCAGGGCTGCAGCAGGGGATTGGCAGCCCTCCAACAGGACTCCCAAGCAGCCTATATTTCCCCAGTGTCAGATAGCATGTGTTGCCAGTTGAAGAATATCTCATATATGTGATGCTCTGTGCAACTTCAGTGCTGTCTGGTCTGAGCAAAGAGGGAAGTGACATCTCATTTTTGGAGAGTGTATGGGAGTCACTTTCCTATCGACGTTGCAGCTGAGACACTACTAGTGAGACACAAGGAACATAGAGCTGGGCACAGTGAAATCTTCCTAGTGCAATTGCTCAAAGAGAAGCAGAAACTTTTAAAAAGAAATGCGACAAATCTCTAAGCTACTGATGAAAAAAAATAAAAGAGGACCACTTTGTCAGCGTTGCTTAGGAAAGGCAGGTGCTCGCTTCTACTGAGACCATTACTGAAGGTTGACTGCCCTCTGAAAACAGCTGCTCTCTGTTTTTGAGAAATCTTTCACCAGTACCTGATGTCACACATATAGCACTACACTAGAAAAATAACTTCATGTCGTGTACATAAGCACTGCTTATAATAGATATAAAACAACATCTGCCAAAGTATACCGCTATAATTAACTGTTTGTTTTGCAGCTCAGTATTTTGCCAGCACCATGATTATTGTTGGCCTCTCTGTTGTTGTCACTGTTATTGTTCTACAATACCATCATCATGATCCAGATGGGGGAAAAATGCCTAAATGGGTAAGATTTGATTGTAATGCTCTATCCATTGCATAAATGTCCAGATCAGAGATGTGACACATTAGCTAGTGATTCATTTGTACTACTTATGGCTAAATAAAAATCTATGCATATATCCTTGCTAAACATTTTGTTTTGAAAGGCAGTTTCACCAGAAATGATGTGTCCAGATACCTTTCTTCTGAGAGAGTGAGAAATATGAATTTATTCATCTTACTTCTATAACCCAAATCTTTACAACAGCTAGAAGCACCTCAGCATTTTGCTGGACCCTAAATCCATAAATAAATATGATTTTCAAATAAGTTGCATATGTCTGGGCAGTCTGGTCTAGCATTAGGTGGAATGGTTGGTGGCCCTGCGTGTGGCAGGGGGGTTGGAGATTCATGATCCTTGAGGTCCCTTCCAACCCTGGCAATTCTGTGATTCTGTCAGAAGTGAAACAGGTAGAAGGAAACAGCAGAGTGCTGGTAGAGATTACAAATGCATGGAACAGACTAGCATAAAGGTGCAGCCACTGCAAATTAGCTGATGTGACAGAACTGACAAACTGTCAGTTGCCCACAGCACTCTTGTTAAAGATGGCTGCTGAAGTGAAAGTTGCTCTGAAAATTCTGATCTTCACATCTCTAGTCAAGAGCATCTTTAAAGCGCAGAGAAAAACTGAAGTGTTTTTCTAAGAGTGATCCACAGATACAGTTGGACTCAGTGATCTCAGAGATCTTTTCCAACCCTAATGACTCTATGATTCCATTTAGGGACATCGTTCTATAAGCGGTTCTTTTTACAGAGAACATCAGTCTCCATCTTGGAGTTACTAATTATTGATGAATAGCAGCTAACTAACTATTCAGTCTTACTGCCCAACAACTCACAGCAGCCTGAAGCCTTAGTGAAGGTAGAAAGACCTCTTTTTTTAATCTCTCTAGAACTTCCAGTTATTATCCCTACTAGCAAAAAAAAAAAAAAAAAAAAAAAAAAAAAAAGTGCACAGAGCAGTGCCCTGCAGACAAGAAGTGATGAGATATTCTCTGGTCCGTTCTGGGGATGTGACTTTAAAATAACTTTGAATGAAGAGAATGAAAGGTATGTATCTCTAGAGTGATGGCTGAAGAGATAAATCTGTAGCGCTGAGTCAACCACCAGAAAACAGCACTGGAGGTACTCTGGTATTGAGAAGCTGAAGTCCACTGGAATTTATTTGGATACTGCTGTTCTGCACCAGGCTGTCAGTTAATAAATTACTATCTTTCTAGGCGAGGCACAATAGCAGAGAAAGAGTAACAAGACAAAATCTATATTTAATTGGAGTGTTTGCCTGGATATAACATCTTCTCTAATAGTAATTCGCAGTCAGAATAAATGGACCAAATCTAATATTAATTACAGTGCGAGATTTGTATATTATATAAGGCAATAATATTTCATTACTGGTCCGGAAAAAAAACACTGGAATGAGCTCTTAAAATCTGATTGAAATAAATAATAGAAGCTTGCATCTGAATCGGAACATTCGGATGCAGACCTGGCTTGCCTGCAGTTTCTGTATGGCTGGATTAAGGCAATGTGGAAAACAATAAAATGATACACACTAATTAAATTCACAAAATTATTTTTAGATCAAACTAATTTTTCCACTTTTTCTCCATATTACATACAGATTTGTTTTCTAAAAGCTACAGTCAATTGTCCTGAAAGTAATATGAGAACAGAGCCAGAACACTGTAAAGGTTAATGGTCTATTCCAGCCCAGCATAGCGTCTGTCTTAGCAGCCTCCTCTGAGCAGTAATGCCACATGGATTTAATATTACAGTTCTTTCATTCATATTTGTGCTTCAATTTGCTAACTGTCTAAAGCAGAGCTACTGAGACTATTAAAAAAATAACTTATTCGGTAAGCGTTTTTTATTTACTCACTGTTTATAGTAAAGGTAGAAAAGACTGCCATATTGCTAGTTTAGCATAGGGAAAAATCAACAGCATGGAGACTCCCAGCAGGGAGGCACTCCCTGTAGTGACAGTCAGCCTGAGGCAGCCCACAGCACTGCTGGACTAAGAAAGCAGCCTCAGTGAGTGGCAAACTAACCATCTGGAAAAACACTGCACCATTTTCTAAAACTTCAGCTCAGACTAAGCAGAGACCACGGACCCGAGAGTCACAGAGGCTATAGAAACAGAAAGAGCTACCAAAGACAGCAGCTGTGTCAAGAGGTGCTTATTCTCTGTAATTTTCTTCCAGACAAGAGTCATCCTTCTGAATTGGTGTGCTTGGTTTCTGAGGATGAAGAGACCAGGGGAAGATAAAGTGCGTCCTGCCTGTCAACATAAACAGCGGCGATGCAGCCTGTCAAGCGTGGAGATGAACACTGTGAGTGGTCAGCAATGCAGTAATGGGAATATGCTGTATATTGGGTTTCGAGGGCTGGATGGGGTTCACTGCACACCCACCACTGATTCAGGGGTGATCTGTGGGAGGATGACCTGTTCACCAACAGAAGAAGAAAATCTTCTGCACAGTGGCCACCCCTCTGAAGGCGACCCGGATTTGGCTAAGATTCTGGAAGAGGTCAGATACATTGCAAACAGGTTCAGAGACCAGGATGAAGAAGAAGCCATTTGCAATGAATGGAAGTTTGCAGCTTCTGTAGTAGACCGGCTCTGCTTGATGGCATTTTCGGTCTTCACTATCATTTGTACAATTGGTATCTTAATGTCAGCACCAAACTTTGTAGAGGCTGTTTCTAAAGATTTTGCTTAACTTCTAACTATGATTTGATTCTCTGAAATATCATATGTAGCAAATAAGAGTGTATTTTTTTGTTTGTTCGTTTGCTTGTTTTTAATGAGCACACTGTATCTCGTTGTCCTCTGTCTTTTGCCCTCCCCCCTACTCCCCTGACACCCCTCTGGCCCTGGGTTCCTTTCTAAAGGGCAGCACCCTTTCAGAAGGGGAGCCAGGGATCCTTCCCCCTGGGCTGTGTGCTCAGCTCCTCCGAGCACCTTGCTGTGGGAGATGCAAAGTGAGTGCAAGTCCATTCAGAATGAAAGGATAGTGCTCGGGCATCTTCTATGCATTTCAAACTGGCTAGTACATAAATTAATAGGTAGGTAATGCCAGAAACGTCGTTTCTTCCAGAATTTGCTTTAAAAGATAGAAGTTAGCCCTATGTTTTGGAGAGGATTAAATCTGAAGGAAAGGAAACTCAAATGACAGAGGGAAAAAAAAGAGTAAGAACACCTTGCTATCTCTGGTTCTTAGTGAGTACAGACCTCGCAGCTCACTCACAACCAGACACATTTTAAATCCCTCAATGCATTTTGCAGTGAGCTTATGTGAGTACAGAGGATTCTGATTTTTGCCTGAGACATCAAAAAGATGAAAGTCAAGATGAAACAGCACATATCTTGTCCTTCTGTCACTTCCTGGACTTGACCTAGAAGCATGGCCTGGATTCTTAAAAAGGCTTCACAGTAATTGCAGTGTTTATTACAACTCCCTTCTCTCCAGAAAAACATTCTTTCAACTAACGACTTCTGTCAGTTTTTACCCTTTACAATGACATAAAGAAAATGAAGTATTTATGACGGCTTTACCTTCGTTTGTTAAAAAAAATAATAAATTATACACACTTGTCTCTTTACTTTTTCTGCATTGAAATCCAGTTAACAGTAACTGTCTTGTACAGGCTCAAATGTAATGACAGATCCAAAGCAAAAAAAAAAAACAACAAAAAAACAACAAATCATTAAATCAGCAGGTCCAGCTTTTCATTTCAATGTGAAACGTTTGATCTGTTGCTTGCTTAGCCTTTTATAGACCTCTTTTCATTGAGACACCATAACATGTCCTAACAAGAAAACTGCATCCTTTCTGCTCAGTTTATCATACAAAGAGCATTAATTAATTATAAATAATATGTATAAACTATACATATATCCCAGGAAAGATTAAGTCTTAAATACAAATTCTTTTTAATGAATAGTGCAGATAATATCAAGGTCTGAAACTGTGTGTATAGAATAGCTAAGAACCAGCCTCCTGCTAGTATAGCAATATTCCTGACCATGCTATAAGTGGTAAAAGACACAGGCAAAAATTACTTTAGCACTGACTGCTTGCTTTGTCCTGTAGAACCCTGGCTTTTTGGCTGAGGTTGACAAACACACAAATGGAGGCCTGCTGTGGTACCATGTTTTTTTACCATGAGATAAGAAACTTGAGGCAAGTCTATCTCCCAAGGTGTATTAAAATAGTGACTGAAATACGTGCACTCCATAGATGTCACTTTCTTTTCCAAGGCCTGCTTCCCTAACAGCAGAAAAATCAAATTGCATGCCAAGCAAGCCCAGAGTCACTGCAGTCCTTCACCAGAGGTAACCTCTTGCTCAACCCTCCATCGTGCCATATAAAAGGGCAGGAGAAGAGAAAAGTAGCAGAATATTTCTCATGGTTTGTGCTTTGTCTTCATGAAAAGTTCTTTCAGAATCTCATACTGCAAAGATCTGAGTAAAGCATTTGAGTCCTTCTTGGAATCCTGTCTTGAAACTTTGAAATTCTTGTGTGAAGAACTTATTTTTTTCAGGAACAATTATTAAGAATTAGCCACACAATAACTCCTGCAGTAATTTCTAGTTTGTAGATTGCATATAAATAGGAAAATATGAGCCCAGACTCTGAAATGAATTTTGTTCCTTTGTGAATGACACAGTGTGACACATACTGCTCTGCTGAGCAACATTTCTAGAACAAGCTTCCTGATACAAATGTTGGTTAGCATCTGTATTTTTCTTTCTCTAAGTAACTCTAAGTAGCTAAATAGAACGTTCCATTCACAGTCTTTTTTTTTAAAGCTCTTGTTAGATAAGGATGTTTCAAAAAGAAAAGGTGTGTGGACGCGTGCAGTGGGATGCAACTCCTGCGACCACACACCATCTGACACACGTTCCACAGGAGGCAGGAGGATAACCCTCTTTCCACTGGAATCTATTTACATCTTCTGTAAAAGTGATCTTGCTAAGTACAGGAGTTCTTTAAGGGAGAAGACAGAAAGTGATTTATGAACTGACAGTAATTAACCTTGTTTATTAAGAGCAGATGCATCTGCGCTTTAAAATTGCAGACTGGTGACTGAGCTTTGTTGTAATTCCTGCCCAAGTTTGTATTTCGCACTGTCAGCAAATACCAGGTGTTAGACAAACTACTTGTAAGACACCAGCATCATGCCTACCCTACTGCCTTTAACACTGGAAGGAGTAATGAAGATGCACCAAGGAGAAAAGTGAATTCTAGTTTTCCCACCATCAATGCAACCCAAAAACATTTGGTAAGAGCATGGTTATAAACCTTAAATACAACAGTGACAGTCTTATTTTGCACCTATGAGTTCATTTTTCATATAACTGAGCAGAGCAAAATTGGTATGTTTCTTGTGTGTGTCAAATATTTGTGTGCACTAAACAGTATTTTGATATAAATGCTGAGGAAATGTTTATAGTTCTGGACATAGAGATGGGAATAAATGCTGTATACAGTATGCTCATATAATATTATATAAGGATCTGTTATGATTTTAAGAGTCCAGAAAAAGAGGATAAGCAAGTGGTTCACCACAGCTAAGCTCTGACTCGTCTGACAAATTGAAAAGCTCACTCCAGAGGTCAGCTGTCATGTACAATACTGTGTGAACAATGTATATTACTTTTTCTGTTTTTATATTGAATTGTATTGAATATTTAAAAAAACTTTTTAATATTTAAAAGTAACTATTTAAGCATTAATGCCAAATATGTTCCAAACAATTTTAAAAGGTTAGTTTTAAATACAGATAAATTATTTAAACAGTATTTAAAATCATAAATTATTTTATATAAGAATTGATAATACTATATGAGACTCTTTTTAAAGGTTTCTTTAAATTCTCTTTACAATCTCTGTAGCTGCAGGATATAATCTCAGTTCACCTGTGACAATTCTACTTCTCATTTTCTCTATCAAGAATAGAACATAAACCAAAGTCATGGGTTTTTTTGTTTGTTTGTTTTCCCTTTTGTTGTAGTCTTCTACATTAAGAAATACTGAGTAGAGGGCATTAGAAAGTGATGTTACATCTGTCAGGTAATGACTGTCATATAACCTATTCAATACTTTTTCAGTCCAGTACAAATAAAAGATTTAGATCAAGAGAATTTTGATTCTTTTTCATTTTTGTAAGATGGAAACAAACTCCAGCAGTAAAGACCACAAAAGACCATAAAAGAAAGAAAAATGTCTTTGGAAATAGCATTCTGTGATGAGAAAGCTCTTTGATAATTAAAAACACATCACATCCTCCTAGGAAACCAATCCCACACCAAATACACATTACCTTAGTCATACATGGGCTGTCAAAGTTAACTAAGTAGGAATGAAATGCCAAATATGCTTTGGACTGGCCTCAATTAATTCTCTTCAAACCTTAGCACAGAAAAAAAAAATTATCAACAAAGGAAAAAGCAAATTAATCCTAGCTAAATAAACTGCCAATTTATTGTGCTACAAGGTTCATTTATTGGCCACTGGTGAAAAAATACCTGGTCAGTAAAATACCCCCTGATGGGGAGAAAAATCTGGCAGTATAGACAGGTGTGAGTTTTGCCCATAGGCTGAGAATCTCCTGACAAAAAAACTATGTATCTTTACTGCATCCTGCTGGGCACATGCCTGTAGTGAGAAGCAAGGGTTGCTGAAACACAAGTAATCCAAGACATCATTCTCTTATTTGTCCCACGCTTGTAAAGAATCGCCTATGAAGATCAGTTTGGTTGAGATCACCACACACAGTCATACAGCCCACAGTTGTTATGCAGCCACTCTGGTTTTGGCTAGGAGCTGCCCCTGGTCACACAGTCAGGTACACACATGAGGCTCACTTGGCCAAGCCAATGTGCGTGCCTTCTCTCCTGGAGCAGTGACAATCAGGATAGATACACTACCTTAGACTTCATACTTCAGCATGGTTGCATGTGTTCAGCACCACGTATCATATAGGCAGCATTTGGCATCCTGTGTGAGTCCATCATCACACATACTCCATCTCTGAAGCACTTGGAGATTGTTTGCTACCGTTCTCAGACATCTGGTTGGTTGTTATGCAGACTGAAAGCTGCTGTAGTTTAGGAGCTGACATATGAGCAGCTCCAATTCATTGCTGTGTGGCAATAAATGGTGGCAACGTCCACCAGAGCATTGGATCTTGTGGCTGCAGGGAGTAACAGAACCAGCCAGCCCATTTTAATCCTATAACAATCAGAATATATTCTCTTAGTCAAAACCAATATCTTAGCCTAACCTCCTGATATTTTAACATCAGTATATCCCAAAAGGCTGTGAACAGAATCCCTACATGTAATTAAAGCAAATCTAACCTGGAAATCAAACGAGAGTTTACAAGACTATAACCATAAATGAAAGCCTTTCATTGTCACTGTTTCTTACGTTGTATTTGCTGCTTACAGGAAAAGATTAATGTAACATTTCTGCTATTAGACAATATGCAGATAATGACACAGACAAGATAAGTCAGCTTCTCAGATGATCTCATTCTCTTCTGACCCAGTAAAGTCCTTCCATTCCCTTTCCTTCCCATTCACTCCCAATTCAGAATTGCAGTTGATAACAGAACATGGGAGTGTTCAAGGCCAAAACATAGTACTTTATCTGCATCCTTGCTGTGAAGACATCACTGAGTTTTCAGAGCTGCAGTCACTCAGAGCTGTAATTGTACCACAAAGCAATAGCATTTCAAGATACAAAGTAGTTTAAAATATCTGAGTATTTTTACCTTAAAAAAAAAAAAAAATGGAATAATGACATGATCTGTTGCTACTGTGGGATGGGTATATATGAGAATAAGATCCACAGATGTCTTCATTCTACCTAACACTATTCAGGATATAATCCAATACCAGTCAAAGGCAGAAAAAAGGCCCAGTAGTCTGAGACCAGGACCACAAACAGTCCAATGAATCTCAGTTATCATTTATGTATCACTCTGGTTCAGGGCAAGCATGCAAATGAATTAAGAATGAGGTACCTATTAAATATTTATATTAGATTAGCTTTAAGCTTAGAAACCAAAAATTTAGGATCTCATCCTAGCACAAGGTGTATCCACAACATTTCTTGAACAGTATTATCTTACTTCACTGTACATGTGGTTTACATACAGCTGTGAAGCATTTCCACAAATTTGCTACCATAGAGGAATTCCAGTCTAGGACTGCTTTTGTTGGTGTGACACCTTTGTTGCTCCATCTTTCTTATCTCCAATTTCTGACCAAAAGAAATCTAGTTAGCATGCTATTCTGATCAGAAAAAAACAGTACAGGACCACTGTTCCGAAAGAAAACAGGGGAAATGGTTTTGAGTTGAGGGAGGGGAGATTTAGGTTGGATGTCAGGGAAGTTCTTTACTAGGAGAGCGGTGAGGTGCTGGAACAGCTGCCCAGAGAGGCTGCGGATTCCCCATTCCTGGAGGTGTTCAAGGCCAGGTTGGATGGGGCCCTGGGTAGCCTGGTCTGGTATTAAATGGGAAGGTTAGTGGCCCTGTGTGTGGCAGGGGGGTTGGAGATTCATGATCCTTGAGGTCCCTTCCAACCCTGGCCATCCTGTGCTTCTGTGAAAACACAAGTTGAACCCTTCGACCGAAGAGAGGTTTTAGACACAAAATTTGATGTTGTTATGCCAGCCTGGGCAACGGAGGGAACGTGCTCCTACCAAATATTTATGCCAACACTGCAGTGCACATATACTTATGGTAGCAGAGAGGGCCTGCAAAGACAACAGCAACATTCTTACAGTGTTAAGCCTGTTAGCCAGGTCAGTTGTGGAGAACTTAGGAAAACAAGTGTTTTCCTGGTTCTCCTGGCTATGCTAGTGGAGGTATAATGAGAAGATACTATTTTAAGCACTAGTTAGTGCTTAACTCAGCTTGAAAGATATTTTTTCTCTAAGCTAGGTAACAATATATTTGAAAGTGGTGGGCTACAGCCCATAGCCCAGCACAATGACAATTTGACTAAGACAACTGAGGGTTTGTTTTTTCATCTTGCCTTCTCTGCTGAGGGAAAGGGTAAATTCTCTCAGCAATTAAAGAAATAAGGGAAGGGAGACTAAAGAGCATTTTAGGTGTTCCTGCTTCTTTCTGGGCTCACTCAACCTAATTCTGCTGTTGTAGACCATCCTATTGTTCCCACAGATATATTAGGATGCTACACTCTGGTTCACTGTTTTAATTTGTTTTAAAAAGGCCTGAAGCTTTAAATAATTTTATTCTGAAAGCACTCACAAATGTCCTTGTAAATATCATCCTTTTCAATCAGATTGGTAAGACTGCTCTCATAATACAGCAATAATTCTTTTGCATTAGAAGCAAATCCATACAGAGCAGGTGATAATAATACAACATACATCGCCCACATGAACTATTTTCTAAAAGGACAGGAAAAGCTTTTGCTGCTGGCCCTGTTGAGAAATGCAGGCTCTTCGCAGAAGCACATGACACAAGCATCCCGTCAGGTCCCTCCAAAGACTTCTCACACAGGCTGAGCAAGGCCCCGTCCTCCAGTCTCCTTACAGGGCCTGGCCTCCAGCCCTGAACCATCTCTGTTCAACTCACTTTAGGTTATCAACGTCTCTCTTATTCTGGAGAAGCCCAAAACTAGGCGCAGTATTCCAGATACTGTCTAAGGAGAGCTGACTTGAGAGCACTTCCCTCAGTCTTGGGGCCACATGATACAACCTCACATACTGTCAAATGGCTCTGCAGCCAGGGCACTGGGCTGGCTCATGCAGCCTGCTGGCTACTGAGGATCTTGTGGCCTTTTTCACAGAGCTATCTCTCAGCCCCAACCTGTCCTACTGCAGCCCCACTATTGGTGATGTCCCCAGCTGGGAGCCTTCCACCACCTCCTTCTAGATGACTGATAAAGACATCAAACAGGAGCAGGATAGATGCCCTGCCGTTATCTAATTATTTTTGGAGTTTAAGTAGAGTATGACCATCTGAGTCAATAACCACATGAGCAGGATTTTGTTTTTGTTTTTTTTTTTAAATTTTTAACCTATCCAGCTGTCATTTACAATTTGACTTCTCAGTAACAGATTTTCCTTCACCTCTCTTTTTATTTTTCTTCCCTTAAGCAAGTCTTTGACATAAATTGAGGAATCCTTCATAACTTTTAAAAGCAATGTTCTCCTGCCTGTTCACTAGTAGTCCATTAGATATGGTTTCATTAAGTTGCAGTGCTGAAGAGCTGTAGTTCACACTAGAGTTCAGTCAGCTTCTACAAATGACAGTATGAACATCTTTGTTTTTCTTTACTATCAGAAATGGCCTTACTCCGTACTAAGCTGAGACTAACTTAACAATATGTACAGCATTCATAGCTCTTTCCTCACCAAATCAATGCTGTAATCTATTGAATTTAAAAAGCTGCATCTTTTCGCTGCAGTCCAGGTTAATATTTATTACCCTATATGAAATTAGCAAAGAGCTGCTGTAACATTGAATAACTTTACATGCTGTACGCGTTGTTTATAATTGAAAGTATCTTCCAGTTAAGAGACTAGAAACTGCTAGAGGACAAGCTGTCAAAATGTCATCTCTTAAAATAAGCTCTTAAAGGTAAAAGGAGGATTTGAGGGACTGACAAAGAAAGGGGGAAGATGCATTTGATGAGAGGCGTAGCACACATTGCCAGTACCAGAGCACA